TTTTTTTTTTTTTTTTTGTGATTAAATATACAGTTTAATTGATTGAATGTCAGTTTGCATGCGTACTTGTTCAGCATAAAGTGTTACAAGTAAACAAATGATTCATATCGAGGTGGTGAGATATGGTATTTAATTAAAAAACTGTACTTAATGATCTATACCTGTGCATAGCTAATACTTCACCCTCTCACATGTTTAATGTTATTTTACAATAATCTATGACCCGTTCAGTAATTATACAGGGTGTTCAGTAAGTCAGGAAACGGGTTTCTATTCTTCTCATTGTTACAAACAATGACTTACTGAACACTCTGTATATGGATTTTTAGGTAAATAAACAACAAACGCATCACAGCATAATTAATATCTTCTAGGCATCACGTCGAAGTCAAATATTTTTGAAAAAACTCAATTACATTATTATTAGTAACAGGTAGTATAACAATATTTTCTTAATAATCACATTACTTGCCAATTATTAATATACCAATTTCTTAACAAAATCACTTTATAATAAAATTAAAATAAAATTGATAATAAAATTAGGTATTGGATTTATTTTTTTATTTTTAATAAATTAATGAATTTAAAAATTAAAAATATTTTAAAAATAAATTTATTAAAATAAAATAAGTTTATAATTGGAAAATTTTACATACCTTGTGTAGAAGACGCTTGATCTTGCTGGATCATGGTTTTATTTATACGTGTAAATTATTAAATAATAAATTTCTGGTTTTCAAAAAGACAACTGCACGTCAATAATAATTAAAAAACAAATGTGACAGTACAAGAAGTGTTTCACCGGTTATATAGTAAAGAATAAAATACGTAGGCGTGAAACACATCCAGTGGTATCATTTTTATCATAAAATGCATACGACAGTGATCGTTATTGTACGGTGATACCTTTGATGTTGGAAATATGCTTACCTAAGCGTCTGGTAGTCGATGATATAATTCTTAGAAATTATAGCTATACATTTAATAATACACAGACAGCGCCGCAATTGTTCTCATATCAAATTACAGACTATTATGAGCTATATAATATAATGGTACCTTTGATGTTGGAAATATGTTTACCTAAGCGTCTGGTAGCCGATGATAAAATTCTTAGAATTTATAGCTGTACATTTGATGTTGAATATATGCTTACCTAAGCGTCTGGTAGCCGATGATAAAATTCTTAGAAATTATAGCTATACATTTAGTAATACACAGACAGCGTCAAAATTATTCTCATAAAATTACAGACTCTTATGAGCGTTATAATATAATGATATCTTTGATGTCAGAAATATGCTTATCTAAGCGTCTGGTAGTCGATGGTAAAATTCTTAGAAATTATTTGTACATTCGATGCTAGAAATATGCTTATCTAAGCGTCTGCTGGTCGAAGATAAAATTCTTAGAAAACATTGGGTTTCATCCTCTCCCTCCCCCCGCATTAGGTTAGTTCACGTAAGGTTTCCCCCTCCATTCCATTAGGTTAGTTTACGTTGGGTTTAATCCCCCCGTACACTTCCTCCGCCGCAAGGATGGTGAGTGAGTGAGGCGGGGGGAACCAGCTCTCTCCAAATTACCCTACTTACCTTCAAGTGGATTTCCTTTGCAATTTGGACATGAAATTACTCCATAACTTAACCAATCATTTAAACATTTTTGATGGAATGTCCCAGAACAACATGGATGTTTACAATCAATTACTTTTACTTCTTCAAGACATATCAGACAATCTAAAAAATAATAATTTATGATAATAAGAAATTTTGTTAACGTTTAATTATATTATTTTATTATTTACACTCTTTATTTCTATTCATTTTATGTTGTTCGAAAAACACCTAATTACAATTGAGTGACTATTTAATAATATTTTACAAAAAACACTAATTCATTTATATGATTTTGATTCAAATCGTATTGTATTTAGTATTGATAGACATTTTCATTAAATCTAATTATTATCCCGAATCTGCACTCTTGTATTTCCTTGTAAAAATTATTCACATGGAGTAATTTCCTACTCCAGTGTAATATCAACATATTCTATGTATAATAATAAAATTTATGTTGAAATAAATAAACTTCAAAATATAATAATAGAAAGTGAAATCATTTTGTCATAATTCCAAAACCTTCATAGCAAATTTCTAATATATAATATGTACAAATAAGTTCACATATTTTTTAGCAAAATATTTTTGTTTTTTTTTTTAAGTCAACCTTGATCACAAAAGGTACACTGACTATGAACTCGGATCTCTTTATGTGATCCTGCTTCAGTGCAATTTTTTAATCTGCAACATTGATTTAGATGATTTTTATTGATTTAGGTAAGACGTCAATAATTGTATCGTTATACAACTGTTTATCTTGGGTATAACTGATGGATCATATGTTTTCTAACTAAAGTTTTTATGTTTTAATTACGTTTCTAAGATAATTCTAAGTGTAACTCAAATGATTGTTAAAAGCAAACTTAAGATCACACACAGTGGTGGGGAATATTTAATAGTATATCTATTTTAAAAAACCTAGATCAAAAGTCAACTTTATCTTATCTAAAGCACTGTTTTTATGATATATTTGACAATAACTGGTGTTACGTATTGATAAATATTATATAAATTAATAGTGGGGATTATACACTACTCGCCAGTGCGGTCATCAATGAAATTTTCAGAGTTGATCACTCGTTTTGGAATACCGCGTACAATAACAAATGATGGTGCGAAATGTTTTAGTGTCATTCAATTCGAAAACTACTGTAGAAATTAGGCATTAGACATTTAGTGGGAGCACATTCCATCCAGTGGGTTGTGCTGAATCAGGTGACAAAATTCTAAAATTCCTAAAAAAAATGCTCATTCTCTATAGACTAGTTAAACAAATTTTTGCTGATGCATAGAAACACACCACTTACAACAACACACGAGACGCCAGCTAAGTTAATTTTAAGGCATTCAACTATAACAATATTTGATTTACTAATATCTAGCACTAATGAGGTAGTAGTAAATAGTCAAATTTCTCAGATAAAATATGGGAGCAATAGAAATATAAATGTAAAAGAGGGTGTTTATGTACTTGAAAAAGATTATAGAAACATATTAGAAAACTGGCAAAAAGCTACTGTCACTGAAAACGTAAGTGACAAAATACACAAATTTACATTAGATCAAGGTACCACGTGGACAAGACACAACAGTCAAAATTGATTACTAAACACAACAAGTGGTTCGTTATACACCGTAGGTGAAAATACTGACATAGAAAACAATGACCATACAGAATCAACCATACCGCTCTACAATAAATTTCCCCGACCTGTTAGAATTAAAAAACCAATTTAGAGTTTCTGTCCATCCGACTACAAATAACAACAAATAATTTTACACTATGTAAACATCTCTGTCTATATGAATACACATCTTATCTAGTTATAAACGGTAAACTAAACTAAATCTTACTCTCTCATAAAATTTCAATATTTATTTATGTGTTAGTAATTATATAACATATAAGTGTATTATAATTTTATAAGGAAAGAGGAGTTACGTATTAATAAATATTAAAAAAATTAGTAATGGAGATTGTCAACTACTGGTCACCGACACACACACACCATTAACAATTATATTGTTTCTCAATAAAGACTTATTTTCCGTTTAACTATTTGATGTTGACTTTCATACTAAAAATACAACAACTGGGTTAACCAAGTATCATGTGCACGCAGTGATGACAATAATTTTTTTTAAAAAATGGTCAGTGTGATAAATAATCGATCACTGCTAAGTTTTACTTCGCAAAATTCATAATAAGATCTTTCCTAGCTGTTTTTAATAGAAGCAATTTTTTTATTTGTTATTGGATAATTATTATTTGCATAATGCCTTTCAATAATCTCTATATAATTAGTCTATGGTAATGTAAGACAATAGTAATAATATCAGAATAAAAAAACCCAACACAGTGGGGACTTGGCATAGTTGGGTCAAGTATAATGATATCTGATAGTGATTAAAGTCACTATCATAAAAAACGCTTCAACGCAAATCTGTAGATAGTGTTTCATTTTAAAAAATTGGTGGATTATTCCAAAAGCTACATGATCTCCTATTTCCTTATTTATATCCTGATTACAAGTTTTATGATTTATAAGTGTAATATATATATTTATATATTAACAATATATAAATATATAAAGGGTAATGGTTTTATTTTAAAAAAAGTACGTCGAATGAAAGAGGTATATAAAAAAGAATTTTTGTACAAAAATCTTATTTTTTTTATTAATTTTGATGTTAGTTTTCACTATGAAAACAAACTAAAGTCCGTATTTTTTTTTCCATAATAAAGATTATTACATTAGCTTTATTTTAAGTTATATAATAGTGTCAGTCTCCGAAACACTTTCAAAAGTTAAGTTGAAAAGTTAATTTTTGTGAAAAAGTTGTCATTTTGAATCTCCCTCTGTGGGAAGGTAAAGGGTCAGATTTATAAAAAAAATATACCAAATGATAAGTAAAGACATCATGCATCTAATTATATTGATCCATACATTTTTCAAACAGTTGGATTTAACTTTATATTTATTTGAATAGTTTGTTTTTATTACTACTCTATTTATTTAAATGAGATAAATCCAACCATTTTTCAAAAGAAAAAAATCAGTAATAGTAATAATAAAAATTATTATTAATATATACATTTAAATTAATAATTATTTAATAAATTAATAATTAAGCTTCTTTAGTAAAAAGTACAAATAACTCGTACAAATAACTCTTGGGTTTCATTGTACAATCCGCAATTGCGCTTGTTTCCAAAGGTATTTTATATACCTACTATTAAGACCAAGTGTTTTAACTTTGGGATACATACGTAAATAAGTTTTTAACATTTACTTTTTGGTTCATCCGGTAATACTGTTGCGTCATCGAGATTATTAGAGTTGGTCAATACCTTTTCACATTTTTGTAAAACAACTAATAATATGATACTTGCAATGAATAATTTCTGAAAAATAATATTACATTAGTAATTTGTCGTTGTAAAAAGTATAAGGGCTATCTAATAGAGTTTTATTAAAATTATTAAATAAATATTTTTAATTGTTGTTAAACAATTGTTTGTTAATAAAAAGAAAAAAAATTTTAAATATTATTTTTAATCCTGAATATATTTTGAATTAGTTATAGACTGATTTATAATTTTCATTAATACACAATTTTTTATATTTTATTATTGAAGAATAAATTATAAAATATAATACATTTCTTAATATTACTAAAGATAACTTAAAATCACATAATTTTTATTTTTATAAAAAATTGTATAAGAACTTAAATTTAACAAATTTAATTTCAAGTTACTTTTGTATGAAATATTTTATTGTGTGACGAACAGTTGGTAAAATATTTTTATACTAAAAATAAAAAGAAAATTTTTTTAATTTTTACGGAAAAGTATTGACTTTTTGATAAAAACCATAAATGTTTTTTTTATAGTAAATATTTAGGTTTACAAATCAAGTTCTATTAACTTTTATTGTAACTTTAATAGATTTTGAGTTAAGTTCAAAAAACTGAAAAACTACCCCTCAGGCTCGATTTTCAATCCTCTTGTGGCACGTGTTAAAGTTGATTTATCACGACCAAATTTGGTAGGTTTTATTTTTTTTACTATTCAAACAATATGTGGGGGTGTATTGATTAATTTTTTGAAAAAAAATTGCCTCTCTATAACGTAGGACCACCATTCACTTGATATTTAAAATATTATTTGCGTTAATTATTAAAAGTATAGTTCTTTAAAGAGGGTAAGCTGTATTTGACCTCGGATTTTTTGTGAAATGCCAAAGAAATTTAAGTATAAATTTAATGTTTTACGATATAGAAAATATGACAACATAAATATACCTAACAATTTTTAATAATAAAATTTAATGATCAACTAGTGATTGATATAGTTTATATTATATTACATATAGATAATAGTACTATTTAAAATAATTTTTAATATTTAACTAAAAATTTTTGTTTCTAAATTTCAATCATTTTTAGGTTCGATGCGAAGCTGAGAAGGTATTGGTTTTACTATGATATGTTTTTTTTTTTTATTTTTTTTTTTTTTTATGTGTCTGTTACCACTTTTACTCAGCTCTCACCGAACGGATTTCTTTCAACGATACGTCAAAAGATCACAAATCGTATCTAGTTGAAGATATCACCCTTAAAAATTGAAAAAATTTCATTCGTTCTCCGTAAATGGGGGAAACCTCCAAAAAAATTACAAATTTAAAAATCGCTAATTATTGAAATTTTTTCAATTTTTTTTACTAAAAACTGCCGTAACATTTTCAAAAATGAACATATCAATATAATTTTTTTTTATAAATACTAGATATCTTTATCTATCATTTGGTATATATTTTTTGTAAATCTGACACTTGACCTGCCCACAGGGGGGATTTAAAATGACAACTTTTTCACAAAAAATTAACTTTTTCAACTTAACTTTTGAAAATGTTCCGGAAGGTCTGACACTTTTTTATGTATCTTATATTAAAGATTTGTATGTATGTAATGTACTTTAATATGGAAAAAAAAAATTTGACCTCTGGACTTGTTTTCATGGTGAAAATGGCTACCAAATGCTATTTTTGTGTGAAAATTATCGATTTTATGTTTTACATTTTTAACTTTATAATGCTATGACATGTTGAAAAGTGTATGGATCAACATTATTTTTTTATGAGAAATAATATTTTTTAATAATCCCTTTTTCATTTGACATACTTAATTTTAATTNAAACCCTTTTTCATTCGACATACTTTATCTTAATCGAGATATTAATAAGGAACCAGCAGATCAAGTAGCTTTTGGAATAAAACACCAAATTTTTTAAAATTAAACACTATCTAAAGATTTGCATCGAAGCGTTTTTTTTTTATAGTAATTTTAATCACTGTCAGATATTATTCGTTTATTTATATAATGAATTTGTAATAATGGCTTCATCGAAGGATTTTTAGTAATAAACAATTAGAGTGAGGTAGGTCGTTAGAAATAAACTTACTATAATAATTAAATAAAGAAATACGATATTCACGACTCATATAAATTCGTGTATACATTTCCGCGTAAGAGCAAAATAGTAACCTTTCGTTAATATTTCATCTATACTCATATATATATATATCAACCGTGCTTCTGTAGATATACATTGTCCCTGCCTAGTACCTCTAGCTACTCTTACTTTTGGTTTATTACACATTAACTTTGATAAATACAAATAACCAGCTTCTTGAAATTAACATGAACAATAGAGTGTCATAAGATACTTTAATGATAAACAAGTAGGCATTAATAAAAATCATGAAGAATGTCTTAAGTTATATAAAGTCTCATTTATGTTAAAGGCCAATAAAAATACTAAAATCTGAATTGATGTGTAGGCGACAGATAGATTTTAGAGTTATTAGCGATTTTAGCTTCGATGCGAAGCTGAGAAGTTATTAGTTTTACTAAGATTTGTTAAGTTTTTTTTTTTTTTGTGTCTGTTGCCACTTTTTCTTAACTCTCACCGAACCGATTTCTTTCAACGATACGTCAAAAGATCACAAATCGTATCTAGTCGAAGACATTACCCTCAAAAATTGAAAAAATTTCCCTCGTTCCCCGTAAACGGGGGAAACCTCCAAAAAAATTACAAATTTAAAAATCGCTAATTTTCGAAATTTTTTCAATTTTTTTTACTAAAAACTGCCGCAACTTTTTCAAAAATAAACATATAAATATAATTTTTTTTTTATAGATGCTTGATATTTTTACCTATCATTTGCCATATAATTTTTGTAAATCTGACACATAACCTGCCCACAGGGGGGATTTAAAATGACTTTTTCACGAAAAATTTACTTTTTCAACTTGACTTTTTAAAATATTCCGAAAAGTCTGACACTTATATAAATATATATTAAATTAAAGATAATGTAATGTACTTTATTATGGAAAAAAAAAATTTCGGACTTTATTTTGTCTTCACGGTGAAAATGGCTACCGAATGCTATTATTGTATGAAAATTCTCGATTTTATTTTTTACATTTTTAACTTTATAATGCTATAACTTATTGAAAAGTATATGGTTCAACACAATTTTTTTATGAGAAATAATATTTTTTAATAATCCCTTTTTCATTCAGGATATTAATAAGAAAATAGCAGATCATGTAGCTTTAGGAATAATCCACCAATTTTTTAAAATTAAGCACTATCTTAAGATTTGCATCGAAGCGTTTTTTTTGATAGTGATTTTAATCACTGTCAGATATCATTATACTTGACCCAACTATGCCACGTCACCACTGTGTCGCGACCCCCCGTGCTGGGTTTTTTAATTTTGGCTTCGATGCAAAGCTGAGAGAGTATTAATTTTACTATAATGTGTGTTTTTTTTATGTCTGTCGTTATTTAATCTAGCTCTCACAAGACCGATTTTGATGAACAATGTGTCAAAAGATCACAAATCGTATGGCTGTCATTTATTTTAGCTTCTGTGCGAAGCTAAGAAGTAAACTATTTAAAAAACAAATTTGTCCCTACAACCTATCTTCTATGTGTAAATGGCAGTCGAAGTTGAACAAAAAATAGGATATAATTTTGCTTTTGGAAAAATCCACCAATTTCTTAAAATTAAACGCTATCTACAGATTTGCATCGAAGCATTTCTTCAGCACTATCTTAAGAAAGATGGATCTTACATCAAGTCCTTCAATTTTTATATACGTTTGCCATAAAAATAATAACTACTTAATTTTTTATAATTGGCCAGATATGTTTCTCTTCATGTCTAAATATAAAAATATTTATAACTTCTAAAATTTGGTACATAAGTTGATTTAGTGATAGATTTTAATTAATCTTAATAAAACTGCATAATATAATTATTTAATACTTAATAAATTGTATAACTTACCATAATAAAATTCTTTTTTAACCAACTTAGTAAGAACAAGTAGTACTAAACCAACTTACTGCTTAAATTTGCTTAAAATGCTCTAATAAGTTTATGTATACACTGATGAGCTTGTTTTATAATAAAATTTAATATTATTTCATGATAAATTAAAAAAATATTTAAATAGAAATGCGTCACACAAACACAAATATTTAATAACATATTCAATTTCAATTTTTTTAGCTTCGATCCATAGTTGAGAAGCAATGTATATAGAATATTTAACTCAAAATATTTGTGGAATATATTATCAATATAATTTTTAAAATTTTAAAAATATATATCTTGTTGGCCAACTGAGGCAAGCCATCCCTTTGCCGCCTCCCTTTAGTTAAACCTTAACATTTTATTTGTATCTAGTTATAAAATACTTATGTTATATATATTAATTTTAAAATCCTTAATAAGTAAACAACCGTTTTCTCTAATTAGTATCAATTTTAATTAACCTAATTAAGCATATAAAACTATAACTAGTTGGAAATCGAACAATATAAAACAATTTGATACATACGTTATACAAAAAGTTATAGGAATTTAATATTAAAAATTTTAAATCGAAAATTTTAACACAAAAATAGCATTTTGTTAACTACGGTAGCTGTTTGCACATAGAAGATAAGGTGTCGAAAAAAAATTTTTTTTTTCATTTTATAGTACATGTCATAAGTTTTAATTTGATATACGTTTAAAGAATGCAGTATTTCCGGAACATTTTCATAAGTTAAATTGAAAAAGCTAGATTTTTTAAAAAAGTTGCTATTTTAAATCACTCCTGTGAGCAGGTTAAGTGTTAGATTTTCAAAAAAATAATATCGAATGAAATTATAGATTTATAATGTTTTTACCTTACATTTGGTATATTTTTTTTATAAATTTATCCTTTACCTGCCTACAGGGGGGGGATTCAAAATGACAACTTCTTCACAATAAAATTAACTTTTGAAAGTGTTCCGGAAAGTCTGACACTTTTATGTATATCTTAAATTAAAGATAATGTAATGTACTTTATTATGAAAAAAAAAAATTTCGGACTTTATTTTGTCTTCACGGTGAAAATGGCTACCGAATGCTATTTTTGTATGAAAATTCTCAATTTTATATTTTACATTTTTAACTTTATTATGCTATAACTTTTTGAAAAATGTATGGATCAATACAATTTTTTCATGAGAAGTAGTTTTTATATACATCTTTCATTTGACATACTGTTTTTTTAAACCGGATCATTTCCCTTAATACAGGGGGGTTTCAAAACATAAAAATACATATAGAAAGTATAACTTTTTCAACTTAATTTTTGAAAGTGTTCTGGAACGTCTGACACTTTTATATATATCTTAAATTAAAGCTAATGTAATGTACTTTATTATGGAAAAAAAAAATTTCGGACTTTATTTTGTCTTCACGGTGAAAATGGCTACCGAATGCTATTTTTGTATGAAAATTCTCAATTTTATATTTTACATTTTTAACTTTATTATGCTATAACTTATTGAAAAGTGTATGGATCAACACAATTTTTTTATGATAAATAATATTTTTTAATAATCCTCTTTTCATTCGACATACAAACCAACCATCACATTATCTTAATCAGGATATTAATAAGGAACTAGCAGATCATGTAGCTTTTGGAATAATCCACCAATTTTTTAAAATTAAACACTATCTACAAATTTTTTATAATTACAGGTTTTTTATTATACTTGATCCAACTATGCCACGTCACTACTGTGCCGCGACCCCCCTGTACTGTCAGATAAAATCTATACTGGACCCAACTATGCCATGTCACCACTATGCTGGCTTTTTTTTATTACCTTTAAATTTAATTAAATTAATATATTCTAAATATAAAACTTTATATGAATATAACATAATAGAATGTATTTAAAATAAATATAATAAAAAAAAGATAAACACCAAATTTCCAAAATGTTATGTTAAATAAGGTATAAAGAATACACATAATAAAAACTTTATTATTAATAAATTGAGAGCGTGAAATTCTAATAAGACAATGGAAAAAAGTATGAATATTAATTTTTTTTTAAGAGGGACATTATAAATGAATCACTCTGTACAGAATGGAACACATCTAACTGATAACTTTTATAACTTTTAATTAACTTATATTTTTCTGTTGCATTATTAAAAAAAAATTTTTTTGAAAATTTCAAGATAGCCATAATTTAATGTGGTAATTATGAGTAGTAAAGTTATCAAGAAAGAGAGAGTAAGAAAAAATAGTTCATTTATTATAAACGACTTAATTATTCGAAAAAAAATAATATTAATAAATTTTTGATTGGTTCCATGTTTTCACAATTTATCAATCATGAAGTATATTTTATGTTCATCTCTTATACCTTATAAGGGTATCAACTTTATTTTTCAAATAACAACATACATAATTAACTAGCTTATTTAACACATAATGATCTAATTAAGTCGATAACAATTATTATTGTTATTATACTATAAGGTTCTAACATCTGTAATAACTTTTTATTCAGAAAATATTTTGCGTTACTTTTTTTTCATATTTTTACAGTTTTACACTAAAAGCATATCTTCATTACGTATATCTAATAAAATTAAAATTTTTAATTTTTAATTTAATTGAAATTTTGAAATAACCATTTTTATGCCTATTTCTTACCAAAAAAATTTAATGAGTCGATAACAATTTTAGGATAAGTACTTATTGAGTTATAAGCATTTTAATATATAGTGAATATGTAGGACGACGGAGTGCACAATGTGCACTGCACATACACCAGTACGAGGTGTACCCATTTTAAATACATACTCATGTTATTAATTAAAACGCTTGTAACTGGTTTTCTTAATATTAAACAATGTATATTAATTAGGTATAAAGTTATAAAGAAGATCACTACCCCTTAGAACAAAAATTGTTCCTGTGGTACTGTATATATATTTATATATGAGTGGCATAATTATTATAAACGTGTATACACATAAAATTTAAATACACATAAGTACATGAGTTATATGAAATTTAAACATTATTCATACTTCTCACAAGTTACGCAAACGCCTAATGCGACCATACTGATATTGACAACTTGAAAATATGTAACCAACAAATACGTGAAAATTACACGGACACTAAACACACAACTGCATTAATGACGAGTAGGCGGGGGCCTTTTCAAAAAAAAATGTTTTATAATAATGAGAATTGTGTATACATAACGGCGGTGTTAGTGGTACATACTCTGTAACAATGGCCATAGAGGTCTAGCAATATAACTATTTTAAATATACTATGGAATATTTATAATAACAAAAGATACCTAATGAATCTATGCCGGTTTATTTTGTGAGCATAACGAGAAACGTTTCTAATGTGACTAGTAAGATTTCGAATGGTTAATTTAAAACAAAAACTCTTAAAAAAATATATATTTTAAGTATTAAAACTTAAGTAAAGTAATTATAAAATATTTAAAAACTGTTCTACATTTCGATAAAACATAATATACTCATAGATGGTTGAAAAAGTATATATTTATTGAATACAAATATTATAATATAGGGTGAAGTAATAATTGTAAATTCATTTTTTTTTAGATAAATACACTAGTTTTTTTTTTTTGAACTTACATTAAATGTGATAACAACACATATAAAAACCAGAACTTTACAGTCTAAAATAAAATCTGATGAATATTTTAAGAGAAACAATTATTTTAAAATTACACCATTTGTTTACATTTACCCCACTTTAACTTACATTTTTTTGATATTGTTGTTATTATCACTATTATAAAACGATAACAAATTAAATATAACTTTAAGAAAGAGTCATTTACTTTTTTCTGTCAATTATACGTTTTATTTTTAAATTTGAATAAGTCAATAATTCTAATTTTAAATCAAAGAGCTTTCTTAAAACACTCAACTTAGGTTGGGAAATTTTTATTTTTCTGTACAGATATTTGAAATTTTACAATACATTTTTTAGAAAAATATCGAGACATAAAACTTAATGGAACAATGATATGTGTGTTTTTTTAATACCACCTGTACAATTAGATACAATAGATGAAATATGAATATAACACATCATTTGATACCTATAAACACTTGTGTATAGATCTCCCTTCTACACAAGTGTATCGTATATTGTTATTTACTTTGACCAACACACATAAGGTGTTATTTTTAGTATATCATTTATTGATATAATTTAGATATATTATTATAGTTGTTTGTGACAGATTAAAGAATTATTACATACGAGTCTTAAACAGCATAAAAATTACATCTTCTTAGTGCGATTTTCCAAAAACGAAATACGTCAACGCCATATGATTTTTTTGGTTTATGAGTCATATTATTAAATTAAATACCAAACTATACATTTTAACAAAAATGGTTCTAATTCTTATTCATACCAAAGTTAAAGAATGTTTTTTTTTTATAAATGATATAGAAATATAATTTTTCCTTAGAAGATAAAGACTATAAGAGTTATCTTTTAAATACGAATAAACAGATTTTTTTAAGAAATCTTATTTCATGGCTTGTTTAACAGATTCATGAAATCTAGATATAATAAAATATCTTTTACAAAATATTATTAAATCGTCTGTGTTTGAAAAAGCACAGACACAGTTTAAGTAAAAAACATGTAAAAACGATTTTATGTCCTACACAATTAAAAAAATTATTACTCTATATTGATGAAACAATATAAATCATACAACGACTTTACATACTGTATTTAAGATAGTTTATAATTTGATACATTTTACTGATTTAACAACATAATTTTTTTAAATCATATGTGACATAAACTTTCTACAATTTTTTTACTTTTTAGTTCCTCTCTTTAGATATACTCTTTTTTTAAATATGTTTCTAAATTAAATATTCTATAGTATAGATGTATTAAAGGACTTTCTTCTCCTACCTATTACCAATTACCTCCTCCAAAAAATCAAATCAGAAAAAATGTACAAATTATCAAAACAAATGTTTTTTTTAAAGAAGAGTAATTTAATGTATTTTCCAGAACTTTTATTTTACAGTTACACCCATGGCCAATAATGATAAATCTTTAACCGTTCAACAAGATTTAAAATATCAAGATTAAAGGGTGCGACAGATCTGTCTATTTGTGATCCATGCAAGCGACTGTAAGCTACTAGAGTCTAGTAGCTTAGAACTATAAAAAATTTAGTCCTTAATATTAAGCCGTTTCAAAATGGGTCAAAAAAAGTGTTGATTTTCGTTACTGACTGATTGACTTATCATAAAAATGATGAAACTCTTCCCATATAGGTAAAAATGTGAAATTTGACATAAATATAGATAGAAATATAAATATATATCTCTTACTGTAAAGGGTAAAATCTAAAAATTGACATTTTTTTCAAAATAATCGGTCTTACAGACAGGAATGTCTTTTAGAACGGAAGCCTGTTATGATTTTTTAGTGTCTCATGAAAATTATGTATTTTACTTACTTATTAAGCCATGGAAAAAAATGATAATCCTCAACAAAAATTTTAAGTATGAAAAAGAACTAAGTTCCAACCTTTTACTTTCTAAAAAATCTGCCTATCGAAGTAATAATATATAAATATTAGCCAAATTTACTAAGCAGCATTGCACTTTTATTCATATTTGTAAACATTTGACTAGTTTCTTGCCAAGTACTGACTCAGTGCTTATTTAGAAATTACGGGAGAAATAGGATAGAAATAATTCAAGAGAAAAGTAAAAAGGATCTTCTTATAGGATTCATTGAAAATTTTGACAGGATATGTTTTATGCCTCATTCAAAAACTGACCAAGTATTAAGCAACACAAATAAAGGAGCAATGTTACCCATGAAAGTAGAATTGAAGTTTTATGATCTAAATAAAGAGTAAACTTGACCACATAGCAAATATCACAACTTTGATAGGAAGAATTTTTTATGAAAAAGAAATGGTTAGAACTATTATCTGTTAAAACCGGCTGGTTTTAGTGATATTTTCTTTATTAAAATAACGAGTTATTCAAAAGTACTTTCGGAAAAATCATAGTAAATCCTTATCAGATAATATTAATGATATATTGATGTACATAAAATGTTTATTCAACATTATTTTACATAAAAATTTATTGAATTTAACATTTTTAAATTATCTTTAATCTCTCTCTAAAATTTTATTTCGAAGAAAGTGGAAAGCTAGAGAAGTTATAATAAAAATCATCAATTATAATTATTTAGGAGAGTAGTATAGTAAACATAATTTAAAATTCACGGTGAATCCTTAATTACAACTTACGAAATACCTGTGAAAATATTAGAACAAGATAAACATTAGTTAATTTTTTTTTAACAATGATTGACCTTTGTTGGGCTGCTTGAAATGAAAAATACATTTTCTCCTATCACACCTAAAGGGTTAATGCGAAATATTTGTTGAAAACAATTATTCAATAATATTATTATCAAAATAAAAAGACTACTAAATTGAGTAATGTGCGAGTTTATTTTCTGTGCCATATTTTCAATTTTTTACAAACTTTTTTTTTGATAATATTATTAAAATTAAAAACGTGTTTAATAATAATAAATAGGTGGAACACGTGTGACGTACATCTCAGGCCGCATAGGTGGAAATAGATATACACAGGCGTGGCTTGTAATTGTTGTACTTTTGGTACTATGTGCATGTATAACTGCTTCGGTTAAGTATAGAAATTGTTCATTTCGTTAACGTTGATCATCATTACAGTACAGTTTATCACTGTTTATTTTTAATTCAATGAACCATTTTATTAAAATAATTTTTATGTATGAAAAAAAATTAAATTTTGTGGCTATTAAAATAATTCACAAAATTATCTAGTTTTGACTCATTTATTTCAAAGAGTGAAAATAATTTACCAATCAATATGAAACTTGAATACATATTTGGATTAACTCAGACCAATAGCTTATTTTTTTGTAAGTATTTTATTTTTATTATGGAGTAAGCTGTTATGCTAAATATTTATAAGAAAATTTTTTTTGGTTCAGATTTAATCTATTAATTAAAAGGAATTACACCTAATATCGTTAAAATATGTATTATTAATGTGTGTCTTTAGTCTTTCACAATAGCCTTTCATAACGAATTATAGATTTTTTATAGCCATAGAGCTAAAAAAAATTAAAACACATTAATTTAGATTAAAAAATAAATTTATAGTCAAATTATAAAAATATTTATGTGAAAAAATAAAACTGTATGAAAAATAAAAGTATTGAATTAGTTCTAATTTTTATTATTTTTTGTCAATATGACGACTTATATAACAACAACTAAAATGCTCTATACAATAACCAAGATAACTCCATTTTTCATAATTTTTTAATTAGCTCAAAAAATTAAACATTTTTAACATATATTCTTATCTAACAAAATTTTAAAAATGCTTTATTTTGCTTGTTATTTTTTTGTAACTATATCTTAAGTAGAAATGTTCTTCATTTTAATTTAAAACCGTCGAAATCTGATTTTGAAAAACAATTTGGTTATCTCATTTTTGAACATAACCCTTTAATAATTGAAGGACTTAATAATGAGTCTAATAGTAATTATTGTTATTAAATGTGATGAATTGAAATATTTAAATTTTAACTTATTCATTGCTTAATAACATGTGAAATTAAACTAATCTTACGCAGATATAAGAATGGCTTGGAAAACCATTAAGACGCGTGGAAACACTAAAAATTGGTCTATGGTTTTATAAGTTAAACTCCTTCATAAATTTAGTCGAAGTTGACCAACAAGAAATCTCACAAATTTTCTATAAGCCCATTCGCCACAGCATGTATAGAAAGCTAAACATCCTTGCACAACCCTCTATATAAAACATTCTAAAAATATTTTACATTAGGAAACACTAAATTTACATTTATACATAAAACAAGTGTTAAAAGTTATAATTTGTATCGTATAAGCCTTTATTTTTATAAATAACAACTGTTTAAATTTTCTAAAACTGGGCTTAACTATTTATACACATTTTTTTTATTAACTTTAATAGTTATAGTAATAATCCATGACGAATCCAATGTGTTAATATTCGTTCTCTGTCCTTAAATACTTTTTATAGCAAAAAATATAAGTTATAAAGGTTTAAATTAATTCATATTAATTAGGAAAATCCTAGATCATGCGAATATGTTAATTTTGAGATCAATGTTTTTAATAAATACACTTACGAAAGTTTCTTCATATTCCATTTTTTATCATAAAATAAATTGAACATGCAAATAATTCAATTTTTAATTAATTTAATTAACTTTTAAATAATTTAAAAAGTAAATTAAAAAAAGTTCTTATGTTCATTTTTACACGTTCATATTTTTTTACATCATTATATTATAAAGTATTTAAAAAATAGTTCAATATAATTTCTGTCTTTCTTTAAATTCTCTAATATTTAAAACATTTACAAACTTCAAAAATTTATTTGGAATGGATTCAATTTAGTAATTTTTGTTTCTAAAAATAGTTTTTTTAATAATCATCGATTGCATTAAAATTATTATCCCTACCAAAGTATTCTCCCTATACTTGTACGACATATAAATTAAATACAATTAAATTACTTATCACCATCTTCTGAGCCTTTATCCAAGCATGGATCAGAAATATTTTACGATTTGTACAGATTTTACACCGGCTGTTAACCCGACACAACCTCATTATGACTGAAGGAGTCAATATGGGGCTAGGTGTATGTCACTGTTAAAGTTCCCGAAAGGTCACCAATCTGGGAACCAACAGCAAACAGCGTAGCTGAACATCAACGTTAAGGCGGTGACTGAATAATTACTGTACCACAACACTCCCCTAAATTTAATTGACTAACAATAAAAAATATTATAATTTTTTTTTACAAAGCATCTAAATTTATATAAAAATGTTTAATTTAAATTGCTCGCCTTATGCACATTTGTAATGCGTAGAAGTTATTAGTGTCATGTTCAAAAAACTCACAATAAACATTCTCACCAGTACATCCAGTATGACATAAATTCTTTCTCGAAATACATCATCCAGGTTATAATTCGAAAATATATCCCCTTCATGTCGTTATAATTATATGATAAGTTAAAACTTTTTCGCTTGAATGGGTAAAAAAAGTTTCTAATTTTGATAACCTCTTGAAAAAACTATGAAAATGGTTATTATGAATATATATATCAATTAAGATTTCATTTTAACATCATTAATTTTAAATTATATATTTAAATATTGTGTTACGTTTTACATATTTTCCATAGGCAATCTTAGTAGGCTTAAAAACTCGTCTAGTTTTTAATACAATTTTATTTAGACCAATATTGATACACTCTCGTTATGATCCCCTGTCCTTAAGTTTGTCAATAATAGACGCATTTTTACTATATAATTTTTTCAGATTTTAATAATTTGTAAAATATTTCTCGGTATAACAAAATGTACGTTATATTTTTGTATAAATTTATCTGAACCATATTTATACCTCATTAAATTTAAAATATATAAATTTATCTGTACTAATAACCTGGTAGAAAAAACCAAGTCTTAAATTTAAAAAAAAATACTGTTTTTTGTTATTATAATATTGTTTTTAGCTTTTTAAGTTTAATGTTATAATAACATTATTCCATTTTCCGTTTTGTGATATTATAACGCTATTTCATTTTTACATAAATTAAACTTAAGTATTACTTTCTATGTTTTTAAAATTTTATATTCTAAAAAATAAATAACAAGATATTCTAATAGATTAATTACACTTAATTTTTAAGTAATTACAATTAATTAAATAATTATAATTTCTGAATCTAGCTTACATTATAATGCAGGAGGAATCTCATTTAACACATGAGGACTTTTTTATTGTTTTAATATTGTAAACTTCTCAAAATAATTTAATATAATTAATGGGAACATCCCTTGATCATAAATATTCTGTATATCGATTTTTTAAATTCATTAAATCCTAACTTGTATTCAACGGAAACCTTCATGTAACGGCATAACTTTTTATCAGTCTTCAACATTTTCATTGAATGAAGATTTCACTGTATTAAGCATGACAAAATGAATTTCATTACTGAATACAAAAAAACATATTATTGGTTATAAGAAATTATACGTATAATATTAAGCTGGGCTAATGAAATACAATTCACATAAACACATAACTATTACAAAACAACTGTAAATTTATTCAAATATTTTTATAAACAACAGATTCAATATTAAATAGTTATAATTAAGTAATTTTCTTAGTATTTTTAAACATAATATTTAATATTGAACTCAAAAATTAAATGTCAGTAAAACTAATAAAATTAAATAATAACTTGACAAAATATAAAAAAGTAAACCATTTCTTAATATCACCAAGATATATTCTTAGTACTTTTTAAACATAATATTTAACATTACTTTCAGTCGTTGTGTAATATAACATGTAGCATAATTAATAAAATGAAAAATATCATGTACTCGATTTTATTTCTTAACATGATCAATCCGAAATTATGACTTAATTTTTTAATTATCGTTAACTACACTTAATGATAAAATTTATTTTTTGTTTTAGGTTTTTTTTTTATATTTTTCCGTTTTTAACGTTATTATTAACCATAACGTTATTGTAACCTCTTTAAGTCTAGGAAAAAATAACATGAAATATATATTGTGTATATTTAAAATTACTTTTTTTATTCATCTTCTGGGAAATACTAACGCTAGTTTTACAGTTTTTATGATAATAATTTATTTATTGATTGATTTTTTTTCTATTAAAATTTCCAAGGCTCTTTTAATGACATTTTAATTTAAATAAACTAATATTGTAACAAGTTTTTAAATTGTATAGAAAAAGTAGCACGTTTCAACAATTTGAACTAGTGACTATAAAATGTAAATAACTGCCTATGAACACAAGTTTGAATTTTGTATCCAACAACACAAATTAATTTCTTGGAACTCGCTTTGTGGTTTATTTAGCACTTAAAGTTAACTGACAAACATATATGATATATACTTTTAAACGGTCATCAGCACACTTATCAGACTTTATTGCAAAAGAAAGTCAGTAAGTAGTATTTCAAACATCCGTGATGTAATTATGACTACTTATAAGACAGTCTTATTAAAAAATTGTAATGACTTCTTTGAAAATACACTTAAAAATTAGTAGAATAGTAATTTACCACTGTACAAATACAATGGTAAATTACAATAAATAGAAAACTATACTTGTTCTATATTATACCCATTTTAAAATATTTATTTTTAATTCATGACACGATTGAAAATAATTAGAACTAAGTAAGCGATACCAAAGCTAGTTACCACAATTTTCCATTTTATTTTTTTTATGGAAAGGCGACTTTTTTTTAAATTTATGATAAGTATATTAAAAAACATATCTCACACATTTCTTGTAAAAATATTAAAGTGTAGTACTACAGCGAAATAACATTAAAATAGCTTTTTTTAAAATTTACAATTTATGAAAACTGACTTCACTCAATGATTGGCTATCACACGTCTTAGAACTCCAAATAATATAAAATTTTCTTTTTTAAGTTTTTCTTAGTTTAAAAGTTGGATCAAACATTCAATAATTTAATTATTTTCTATTTTATAAACTAGTTAAATATTATTCGCTGTCATTAAAAAAAAAAATGTTGACGCTTTTATAAGTTTATTTAGTATTAATAAGGATAGCCCAAAAACGTATAAAACTATAAAAAAAAAACTTTTTTTTTTGTTTTTATTATGTAAGTGACTTAGTAGTGGGTTGGAATAAACTAACCACTCTGTAATATAAAAACTGCATAATAACATTATTTAATAGTAATTTTTATTTCACAAATTAGTAATTCGAAGAATAAGAAAATATGACTTACTTACTTTTATATCAAATAACAATAAATATAGAACTATCATTGTGAAGCTAAAATAAAATATAGAATGATTCCTCACGTCTCGCGAAATATCTTTGAAAATATTAGCGTTAATAGTATCATGTTGAACACTTTTTCAGCTAAACTGTATGGTCGAAAACGATACAAAAAAAATATATTTATACACTACTTATATCTTGTATTGATCATGATAATTTTCATAATTTGATTTAATTTACGGAAAATATTTACTTATCTAAGCAAAAGTTTGTTTATTGAACATAGAATATATGTCGAGACTAAAATAATTAAAACTGTTGTGATAACACATGGTCTGATTTATGATAATCCGTGATACCTAGTTTTAGAATACCAATTAGAGTATTTAGTTTTAGGTAATTAACAGTGTAACAACTAGCCTTAATCTCTTTAAAAACATTCATCAAATATTTAATTTTAAGTAGTTATTGGTAATCACCAATAACTACTTTATTTCCTATTAAATGAAAATTTAATTTAGTTGAATTATTCAAAATACTATAATTTAATGTATTTCTGGGCATATTTGATAATATACACTATAAATAACAAAGTCTGAAAATAAAATAAAACATAAGAGTAAAAGGAAAATATCACAGAGAAAACGAGGTGTATTAGATCATCTCGAGAGAGAATAAATTTTACATTCATTAATTATAATATAAAATAAGGTTTAATTTATAGATTTTAAAAAATAATTAAGATTTAGGTTTCTACTTGAGTTACTTAAATTATAAAACAATTATTTTTGCTTTTTATTAAGCCATTACAGATGTTTTTTTATTCATATTTCGAGGAAAAAAGCATCAACAACAAAAGCTATTAGCTACACACGTTATTTACATACAACAGATTTATTTAATAAAAAAATATGTATAGAGTTTTGAACCTTATTAAAATTTGTTTTTAGTTCTAATTGTTGATAAATGTGTATTTTTTTTTTTTAGGTAGAATCTGCATGACAAAACATAAGCTTAATAAGTTTTAATTATGTCTAGTCATAAAATTTAGAAGAAAAAAGAAGTGCAAGTTTTACTATACTCATCAGACTTAAGCTATCAAGAGAGCTATCCGTCGACAGTATAATGATTGACTACACTGTCATGGAGTTGCTCTCTTTATGGAAAAGTCTAATAACACATAATTTACAAATTAATAATAGTATAAATTAACAACAAAATGTACAATTGTAGTTCTAATAATTATTTTTCTAGCTGTATGTATATTTAAATGTTATTATTATTAATTTTCCAATAATAATAGAACAGTTATTATGATTTTTTTTTCATGCAATTTATTACAATACATTTTTTTTTATTTTTTGATAATAACATAAAATTAAAATTGGATACTAAAAGATTAAAAAATAAATATTTATGTTAATAAAATTGTTTTTCAGGAAAATAAGGTCACTTCTTGTCTCATTTTTTCTTTCAGAAAGAAATAAAACAATGCAAACCTGGGAAGGTGTTAATTTTCTATGTGTTTTTCTTTTGTACTTGCTACATTTTTCAGCTCCTACTTGATCAATTTAATATCAAAATATTAAATGTAAACCTGTACTTATTTTTTATTATTAAATGGATAATGGTCTAAATAAAATTTTGACAGATCGATTCAAGTTTGAATTTCTGACCCTTTGCCTGCCCACAAGGGGCTTGAAATATCAATGTTAGAACAAAGCGTTAACTTTTTAAAATGCTCTAAAAACCCGCATCCTTTGAATAATTGTAAAATTAGTATACAGCAGGGCTCACGCTGACATTTTTGGCCGCCTTGTGCAAATAGTGAAAAGCGATTTGGCCACTCCCAAAATTTACAATAGACCGATATTTCATTTTATTTAAGACCTTCTTTTCTCGATCATCACATCATAATATGTGAAAAAAAACAATTATTTACATCTAAATGCTTACCCAATGTGTGTATCGGAATCACAATTGTGCAGAAAGTGTGGAGTAGAAAAGGAAAACTCATTTCACATAATGTAAGAATATGAAACCTTATCCACACTAAGATCAAACTCTTAATTAAAACTTTTCCTGAAAAAGAAGATATCATAAACCTAAGACCCATAGAGATCCTTAATTTCGCCAGAAAGACAGGACTCTTTGGACATCCACAGGTATAATGTAATAACACTTATGTGATTACACTTGGGTGTGTAAACCGAATCAAGACAATTCTGTATGAGGTGTGCACAATGGATCAACAGGTCTGAGTGCATGGGCATTATGTCCACCTCACTAATAGCTAAAACTAAAAAAAAACTACATTTAAATACCATATTTTATTTCGTCTATTTGTTCTTTGATAACTTGATTAGCACGGCAGATTTGTATATTACAAGTCAAAAACAAAATTTGTCTCAATAATTTATTTTCAATGTGAAAATGGCTGTCATATTTAAAAATAACATAGTTTATTTGTAAATATGGCCAAATTTTCATTTAAACTTCTGCGAAATTAAAAAAACATTAATTTACACTAAGTGCATTTACTAATTAATTAAGAAGATATTGGTTTTACCATGCTGTGGTTTTTTATGGCCTGATCATGAAAATACTCAACTCACACTGGATCAATTTTGTTACTCTATGAGACAAAAGAACCAGGTTTTAATCTAGTTGAACTTATTGTCACCGAAACTACAAAAAAAAACACTCAATTAAATTTTTTTTTCAAATATCTCAAAATTATGTTACTGTAAATTTTTATTCTGAGTTTTTAAACATTTTTAAAAACACCAACCTTAATAAAATATATTAAAGACAATAAGCTTTCTTTTGGTATGCTTTTTATAACAGTCTAATGAAAAACAAAAGTACAGGAAGAGTTTGAATGATAGCACTCACCCGAATGTAAAATATTTTTTTAACTCAATTTTTGATAAATATATGAAAAGGTTACAACTTTTAACCCATTTCAAATAAAAGCTCTTGAAGTGTACATTGATATTAAAAAAAAAACAGTACAGTGGGTTCGCAGCATAGTGTAGGTGTGACATAATTGGGACAAATATCAATGATATCTGACAATGGTTCAACTGACTATCAAATGAAACGCTTCGATGTAAATTTGTAGATAGTATTTAATTTTTAGAAGTTGTAGGATTATTCCAAAAAGAACATCAACATCTATTTCCTTAGTTATATCCTGATTACAAGTTTTATAATCTGCAGTATATTCATGCATAAATATAATGCAAGAATAAATACATATTAAAGAAATTTATTTTTTTTTTATTTACAATTTGAAATACATAATCTGTACAACATAGCACAATAAGTATATATGATATTATAATAGTAGCATGAATATTTTGAATTAAGAAATCACCCATTGGTGACACTTGACTGGAAATTAACGCTGTCTAGAGTCTAGAATTTGGTTGTTTTTTTTTTTATAATTATTATAACAAGTCACGGCACCAGTTGACTTGTTGACCCAGACGACGCCCGGGGTTCCCGGTATGGTTTGAGTGTAGAGGCTCTTTATCAATGGATTTTGGTGGGTTTGTAGGCGATTATGAAAACGTTTGTAGAAATCTACAGCTTCTTCTGTCACAGTTTTCATTGTGAGGTCTTTATGTAGGGTATAATTGGACACAAAAGGTGGAGCATTCGTAATTTTTCTAAGGGCAATATTCTGGAACTGTTGGATTTTGTTGGTATTAGATACTTTAGCAGTACCCCACAATTGAAGACCGTAGGTCCACAGTGGTTTTAATAGTGTTTTATACATAAGAACTTTAACTTTTAGTTTAGAGTGTTTATTATTTGTAAGCAAGGGAATTAAAGAAATATTAAAGAAATTAAATTTAATATAAAGTTATTCAATATTTTGTATTGTAATTTTCGCTGAGAAACTAAAACAAACCATAAAGTATTTGTATATTTCGTTACCTGTATAGTAACTGTGTATCAAAAATTTAATTATGAATTTATCATAAAAAAAGGAGGGAGAAAGTAATTTTTTTTAATACGATTATTGTGAATTTTGTTAGTTTATTATTATTATTATTTATAAATTGAAATTATAATTTTTCATATACTATTGGTAGCTAGAACATTTTTTTGTGAAAGCACAACCCCTTATTTTTAATATTACTTATTTGATTGTCATTAATACTGCAAAATATTTATAACTAACACTTTATAACTAATATTTATAATATAACAAAACTTTTAATTCATTTTTTTTTAAACGAATTAGTTTGGTTGGTTAAATTAGTACTAACCCACCCACCACCTATTTATATGATCACTTTCTTAAAATATAATCATAAATTATTATTAAAAAAAATAGAAATAAAAAATTATAGCAACACCAAAAAGATTAAATTTTTCAAAATATATACCAAATTAAAGAGAACAACCTTAAGAGTTAATTAAAGGAAAATTAATATGGGTCTATCCATTTTTAAAAATGTTAAGATAGATTTAAGTAAAAATAACAACTTTAAAAACGGTGACATTTTTGCATCAAAATGTTTCTTGTAAATTAAAAAAAGAAAAATAATCTAATTAATAATGATCTAATAATTTAAAATAACTTAATAATTAATAAATTGAGAAATATAAAAAAATCGGTTCAGTGAGAGCTGAAAAAAAGTAGTGACGGGCACAAATAATAAACGGTACAAAGTGGGGTCGCGGAACAATATGAACGTGGTATAGTTGAGACAAGTATAGATGATATCTGACAGTGATTAAAATCACTATCATAAGAAACGCTTCAATGCAAATCTGTAGATAGTGTTTAATTTTAATAAATTGGTGGATTATTCCAAAAGAAAAATTAACTAATATTTCCTTAATTATTCCTGATTAGTAATTTTATGATGTAGAAATATAATATATGAATAAATATTTACTATAGCAATTAAATTAGTATGAGATTGATATTTAATAAGTTAGTATAGTAATTTTTTCAGAGAATTTATATAAAATTATAAAGTAGTTATTACTTTTATGGCAAACGTGTATAAAAATTGAAGAACTTGTCACAAATGTTCAGAAAATAACTTGTGGTTAATTATGAATAAATGGTCTTCAAATAAATTTCATCAGAGTCAAAAATATACTTTTATTATTCTATTTTTCTTGTTGAATTTTGTTTTCCATCTCAAATAAAATGCAAAAAAAGTTATTTCGGCTAGCGGGTCGAACTTTTTACCCCGAACTTAGAAGACTATATAGTTAATAACGCAACCACTGTGATCTTGATGAATAATTATCATAAAAAAAACTATTTAAACTAGTTGAAAAATTCAGTCATTGTTCTTAACTTTGAGGAGGTAAAATAATCAAAACAAATTTAAATTTATAATTAATCTAAGTTAGAATCATGTACCAAATTCATGGTAAATTTTATAAAAATTGATACTTATTACTAAGATAAATCCTTGTATAAGTATTTTAAAAAAAAGTTGAACACAAAAACATCTGCAAGTAGAAGATAAATCGTCGGGACAAATTTTTTTTTTTTTAATTAATACATAACATTAGCTTTAATTTGACATATATTTAAAGAACGGTGATTTTGATTTTGTATAAATATTTATGATATTTAGCTTTTGTTTATAATACTCCTTCTAAAAATAATTTACTTGCGAATATAAAAAAAAAAAATATTTCTTTTCAATTTTTACCAATTTTCTAGAAAGTCCATTAAATCAATAGCATCTTAAAATGAATAAATTCCTTAAATATTCATACTTGAACAAAAAAATAATCCATCACGAGTTCTAAAATTTTATATCGATATTAAAAAACTATAACTACTTAAAAAAAAGAAACTAGTTTATTTTAGAAAATTAAAATAAAAATACATATAATTTTTTTATTCCTTTTATTTAATATAATGAGCGAATAATGATAGCTTTACTTTTGATAATTACACATATAGGTGTTCAGTAAGTAAGGAAACGGATTTCTATTGTTCTCATTGTTCATAACAATTGTCCTGTTACTGACTAAACACCCTTTATAAGTATATTTATATAATAAAAAAATTATAGTCTTTTATATGATTTCTACAACAATAATTAAAAAATATATGTACATGTACATTTTATTTAATAATATATGATAAATAAAGGTTAAAAACTAATCGTTAATAATGTTGAAAAATACCTAATAAATAATCATTCAATTGTTAATACTTGTTTCATTTTAGTTATCTAGTATCATTAAATTACTTATGATTACTATAAATATTAACTATACAAGCATAAAAATGAGCATTAAAAAAAATAAACTTTATATATATATTTTATAGTTATAAGTTCTATTAGATTAATTCAAAGACTAAGTAAATAATAAGCTTATTCTAAGACAAACAAATCTAAAAATCTCTTAAATAAGGATCATTAAACAAAATGTTTATTATATTGGGTAATTTAGTAATAGAAAATATTATTAATTGGTGTTTATAAAATAACTTTCACATCTGCAAATTGAAAATTTTCAAATTACTAAAATAATTTTATAATTTATTTTTTTAACTACTATAACAACATGTTTTCCTACTCATACGAGACAAGTTTAAGTCCATTAAAGTACAACTACTGGATATTCTTAATGTTTTTAGATGTATAAAAGACGACATAAACTTTCTCCATTTTATAGAAAATTGGAATAAGATAGAACTACAATTGAAAAGCGTTGTACCTACATTCAAATTATTTATAACTTTTAATACTTAATTATATATAATTTTAAAAAAGATAATTTATTTTACTCTATTTGAAACTAATATTAATGATAAAAATTTAATATTATGCATAAAATCAACATTAAAGTCAACCTGTGACTAACTGAAATTTTAGTTCATAACTTTTTTTAGATGATATAATTATAAAGGTTAATATTAATTTTGTCTTTGAATCAATTATTTTTTTTAAACTTTGCTTAATAATGTTTTAAGTATCTGTTTATATTTAAAATATTGATTTTAATTTTACTATTTATACAACAAAATTTGACACAATATTTTAGAAAATAATTTTCTACATGTTTCTATAATAATATGATTACACAAATGTTTAATAAAATAGTTACAAGTAACTATTTTTTACAAGTAAAAAGTATATTTTTACAAGTAACAAACAAGTATTTTAAATTAAAAAAGAAGTCAATTATAAAATAATGAACGCACACAAACAAAATGATTTCTATATCCGAAAAAAATTTTAAGCAATACAATTTTATGCAAGATAAATTAAGTAAGCAGTAAGAAATAATTAGATATAAATATAATACTTTATTTTTGTTTTAAGGTAATAAGACTTAATGGATGAAAAAGAAAATACATTATATTTAAATCATTTTTTCACTTAGATTTAAAATTAAACGTTTATATAATACTCATTAGGTAATAAATTTCATTATTAAATAGCTAAATACAAATTTCATAAGATGTAGTGTATATTATAATATACATATGGTAAATATCGGCTGTTATCACACAATGAAAATTTTTTCACCAATTTCAACTATATATTTAAGATCAAAATATAAAATAAAAGTAAAAATTTTTAATATAAAAAATACAATTACATCAATTAATGAGATAGTTTACAGAATAATTGGTAACTTTCATTTTTTAGTACTAATTTATATTCACCATTAGTTTCACAATCGATAAAAATATTAATTTGTAGGTATCGATGTAAAATTGTTCATACAGAGATCATTCGGTTAAAAACAAAAAATATTTCAATTTTAAAAAAGAGAATAATTATTTCAATAATTATTTTCTTTTAGTTATAATTAACTAAAATCTAACGGAATACTCAAATTGATTCAAAAACTAATATTCTATAAAAGTAAATATTATTAATTCAATTTTTTTATCATTTATCTTCAAATTTTTTATTTTCTAGTATTAAAACTAATTTAACACAAAATTATATCATATTTTGGTAATAAATATTTTCATAGTTTGGTGATGATTTAGCATACACAATCTACTAATACAACCATTCATATTTCTATTTTATGAATACTGAGTTTATGTTTTAATTTATAAATTAAAATATGCAGTTAATAGGCCACTTTAATACAAGATTTAAGTAAACAAAAAAATGTTACCTAAAAATACAATATAAATAAGATATTTCATATTAATGTTTTTATTATTTAATAATGATCATTACTAAAATGAAAATTTAGTTGGATTCATGAACATTACGCTGAGAAAATATGTCCCTTATTTCTTCTTCTTCGCTTTCATTTAAGTTTGATTCATTGGAATTTTCTAAAATAAAATTTATAAATAATATGATACTGATACAAACTTTTCTATTATTTTAAAAGTTAACTGTTAATAAATTGGAATCTTGAATATAAGTGAGAGTTAAACCTCAACAAAGACATCCTTTTATTTACTCCATCCTAGACTACAACTGAAATATTAGATTTATAGAGGTAATTTATATACATAAACTCTTATTCTAATATTTATAATAAAATTTTATTACAATAGAACTACAAAAAGTAGGTACTCGATATGTTTTTCAAACTTATTAAAATATTTTAATTATTAACGTTTGACATAAAGAGCTTGTAAAATATACTATTTCAGCTAGATCATCTTGTATTAAATAATCAAGTTAATTAGGGGTGACTATTTAAAAAATTAAAGTTGACACACTTATAAGGTATAAGGGATGAATATGAAAAATCTTTATCATTGAAAAATTGTAAGAAACATCATTAAACTAAATGAAACTAATAATAAAATTATTATTATTATTTTTATTTTTCGATTAATTAAATGGTTCATGATAAGTAAACCACAATGATTTATTATGGTTTATTTATTAACAGAATTTATTTTGCTTTGTTGTCGCTTAACTAAACAAAATTCTTACATATGTAAGAACCATATGTAAGCAAAAAATGTGTAATGAACTCCCTTTGTTAGTTGAAAAATATGATAGGTTTAATCAATTTTTAATAATTTCTAAAAAATCATAAAAGTCTCTGACATTTCCAAATTTTAAGGCTTGTGGTAATCATTTATATCTCTGCAAAATTTTCCATTCATCACAGTATACACAAAGAATATATTTTATTGGTTGTAAGATATTTTAATTGAAATAATAGTCAATTTTAATACTTTTAACCATTATTATAACATTTTAATGAGCAAAAATAAAATGTAGTGTGATGTATCACATAAGGATATAAATATTTACTTATAAAAATATAGGAATATTTATTTAACTAAAACTATGCAATAGAATTAATAAATATTAAAAAAAACAATGCATAATAAAGGTTTTGAAAGAGAAAAGAAACGTTAGAAATTTTTATTTATAAAATATTTTGTATTATTTTATTAATTCACTTATTGTGTCTCATATAATACCCACCATTTATATTTTGAGTTTCCATTAAGAGGTCATCTGAAGGCCATGAAAACTTATTAGCCTCAATCATGGCAACTTTTTCTTTAGAAAGTGTAAAATTTTGATCTCCTTTTCATTAAAACAAATATATAAGTAAACAAATAGTTCATTTTTAAATGTATACCTATTAATGTGTTTAATTACCACTTATTTCAGGTGACGATGCATCAAGCATTGGCTGAAGAATACGTCTTCTAGCATTGATAAACCAGTTATTTACTTGTAATAAAGTTAAATTTGTTTGAGCTGCAATAATTTTTTTTTCATCTTCTGTTGGATATGGGTGCTTAATAAAATTAAGTATATAAAATTATTTTAACACGTCAAATTATACATATGATAAAAATATAAACAAATGTAATTTTTAGTAATTGTCTTAAAAAAATGCTCAATTTAATTTTATTTATACTTACAATTAGATGTTGAAACAACCAAGAACGCATTACACTAGTGGCTTGCTTAGGAAGAATTCCCCTTTTTTGTTGTCTTTTTCTTTTACTTCCAAAGTAATCATCATCTTCATCACATGATCCACCACTTGTAGCAGATAAGGAACCTAAAATTAAAAATAATTTTACAAACTCATTTATCATTTATAACACAATTTATTTATCAATTTAAATTAAAAATAAAGAGTCAAATACATTAAGGATCCAACAAAGTGGAATTGAGACATTTTTTAGATTAGTATTAATTAATATCTGACAGTTGTTCAAAATGTTCTTAAAACGTTTATAAAGTAAACTGTATAGTTATTGATACCTTAAGGAAAATAACTGTTTTAATTAGTATATTTATATAGTTACAAATTTTGAATTTTTCTCACTATATTTTATTAGTCAAAAATTTTATTAGAATTTGAATTATGCCTTTAAAATTCAAAATATACTATTATTGTCACCTTTATTTGATAAGAACTGAAATGTGCTACTTAAATTAGAGTTATTGGCCCTCTTTTTATTGGTGTCTATTTTAAAGAATTAATAGTACCTATCCCAAATTACTTATAAAAAAAAATAGTAGGAAAATTTTTCTTTTCTTCATCTCAAAATGCATTTTATTACCTTTAATTTGACATAGGTTTAAAGGAGATAGGCTTTTTGGATCATAATCAAAAATTGTAATGAAAAAATGTTGAATATGATTTTTAAGTACCCCGCAGTATTTTGGTTAATGAATGAATTTTCAAAAAAGTATATTTTAGTAAGGTAAATGTCTAAAGTATTATCAATAAAAAGTGCACAATTATCTATCTGTCCAGTTTTTAAAAACATATTTTGATATAAAATGAAAACCAAAAATTTTAACATTGACTATTTTATGAAAACTGTAATATGTTTTATAGCCATTTATATATCATTAAGCAAAATCGAAGAAATTGTGTACAGTGACATGAAAAAAAAATTGGTAGGGTTTCTCAGCTAGGTATCAAAAGCTTATATTTAATTATTTAAGATGATTTTAGTCAATAATGTAAATAACATATGTAAATATATACTGTAAATTAATAATTCACAATTTTTTATACTATATTCTTAGTAAACAAATAGACATAACTATTTGGGGTACTTAGAATGCAAGGGGTATAAGAAACATTTTTAAAAATTAAGCTATTTGTGCAGTTGAACTGAAGATGATTAGCAAAAAAATGTGTAAAAAAATTGAAAAAAAAAAGAATCATAAAAAATTATTTTTTAAATGTTGTTATACAAAAAACAATAACTTAAAAATTATTTTCTCAAAATTAAAAAATTTCACTTATACCTCTACTATTTTAAGAATCTCATTTAAATTTAGATTTAAATAATTTACCTTGAAGAGAAGATGGTTTATCAGATAAAAAATTTGTTGTAAGTGGTATTTTTCCTATAGTAGAATTTTCAGATAAGGAAGACTGAGTAATTGGAATTTCGTGATGTGAAATATTTTTAATTTCTACTGATGTGGTAGATGGTATTCCAGATAAAAGACTAGAAATATTTTTTAAATCCATGATGGTCTTAGGTTTTACAGCATCAATGTCTCCAGAATGTTGCATAACTGATCCTGATGAGGATGTCACCTATAAAAAATGTATTTATAGGTAAAAAATTGGCCTTCTAACTAAAAAAACATTTAACTAAAATTGAGAAATTTACTCTAAAGTCTTTATTAGAATTTTTAATACTACAATATTTTTCCAGCAACACAAAATGTATATTAATAATACAATACATTTTTAATATTTGAATTAGTTTAAAACGGTTCTTTTACTAAAAAAACATGATTTTATGGGAGATATTAATTATTACTTTATCATGGTCCAGACATACATTGTAACTTTTTGCATTACCCTAAATAGTTGGCAAAATACAGAAAAATTATGATGATTATACCATATTTTAGAAGAAAAGATCTCAAAACTGTGAAATCAGTAACTATTATATATATGAAAGGAATAAGAAGAAAATCAAAAGTAAATTTATTTATATCATATTGAGTTTATAAGAATATAAAGAGGATATTAAAAACTAAGTTAAGGAAGGTACATACTAGAATAGATGACCTAAAATTGTTCAAAAAAAAATTAATTGAAAAAATGAAAAGACCATTGATAAAAATCGATGAAGTAAAATATATAATTTTAGTGAACTTATGATAATTATTTAATAAACATTAAATAATATAAAAATTAACCTGAACACTATGAGGAGAGTGACATAAAGGTGAATTACTATTACTTGATGTTTCACTACTATTATTATCAAAATAACCAGTAGTATAATCAGAGCGTAATAAATTTTCACTTTGCATTTTAATTTTCAAACAAGTAATATATCTACTACAAAAATCTTTACATAATTCTTGGACTTTTTCTAATTCTAAAAGATGTATTCTTAAAACTTGAATGGCTTTTATCATCTGAAAAAAATATTTATTATAAATAAAAAAAACATTTTTTTATAATTCTAATTATTGATTAAATAATAATATACAATAAAAAATAGATAAAAATTGTGTACCTTCATATTGTGTTATTAGAATATTATTGCTTATAAATTTTAAAAATGTGAGAATTTGTTACATATTTCATTAACTTGATCATTATTAAAAAGAGAAATTAGGTGATTTCGTATTAAATTATTATTATTATCAAAATTTTTTTTAAGAAAAAAGCTAAAAATTATCTTTTTCAAAAAATTAAAATGTATGTATATATATTGTTATTTTTAGAGATAAATAATAAAAAATGTGCATAGTCCAAAACTGTAAAAATTATTTAAAAATGAAAGTTACAAGATATATTTAATGAATAAAAACTTATAAAATTTGTCTGAACAAACTGGGCCACTCTTTACATTCAAAATACAATTCGTTTTATCATCAATTAAGATTTAACACCTGATTTCTAACTTTTTCGTCAAATTGAAATAGTAACACTGTTATTTAAATTTAAAACTATTTGGTAATCTAAAAACAAATATATATTAATACAAATACCATAGATTGGATGAAAATAAAAAGTAAGGAATAATTATAGAAAAAAATGATTTATTTTTCTTCTAAAAGTTGAGAAAAGTGAGATATCGAGTAGCGATGATATGTACTACATTTTCACTTACTAGGCCATCAATTTCAGTATCATTTGTAAAAAATGGTTTCCTATCCTGTTCTTGGTGTTGAACAAATGCTTGAATATCAGTATTGAAACTTTCAGAATTTAGAATTGTAGCAGATTGTGTTGCTTGTTCACATCTTTCAAATAATAACGCTAATAATGGGAATAGGGGATGTCTAAATATATGAAAAAAAAAAAAAATTAAAACATTCAAACTAATAAATTGAAATTTTATGAGCAATATATATTATATTTAAATATTCATGATTATTTATCAGTTTATCATTGATTACTTGTACACAGCTCTTTTATCAGCTTCAAAAACTGCTTGATCTGGTTGTTGAATGTTGTTATTAGCCAGAGAAGTCAGATTAGATGTTACACTATCAGAATATGATACCATAATTATATTTGAAAACTTCACATTGATTTCTAGTTTTAATAGAAATGAAGAATACAATAGCTAAAAATAGATATGTTTTGTTTAAAATTCATTCTAAACATAATGCTCTTTAAAACAATTATCATTCTTTTCATGGGACTTAATTTTTTTAATTTATTAGATATATAAATTTAATAGGACTATACACCAAAATATTTTGGCTTAAACAAATAATACACAGTTTTGTACAAAAAATTAATTATTTAACAATTACAAATTCAAATAACCTTATATTAATATTATTTTGTATAGTTTATAAATTCATTTAGATTACTACTCAAGTTACTTACATTTAAAACTGGAAATAAATTTTTATAAGACCTGAGAAATGTAAAACAAGTCAATATGATAACAAGAATTTCATTATTTATTAACGAAGTTTGATGTATCCTCCGAAACCCCGGTCTGGCAATGAACTTAGGGTTGCCGGTAAAGCTGTGTAGCTTAAGTATGATTCAATAATTAGAACATTCAATAGTTATTTTTATTCTAAAATAAAGCACGAGACATTAAGTTTGCAAGTGCAGGTAAGTGTGTAATTATAGCCAAAATTTTGTAAGCAATTGATTAACAAAGTCCAAACTGAGAGAAGTTTATAAAACTCGTAAGATAATAAAAATAACAATAAATATTATAAGGGACGGAACGATAAGAACCAAGAGGTTTTATTATCATGGTCTTTGTCATAGTGTCGGCTGTTACCTATGGATAGCGCTTTCCTGACTTTTCCGGATCATTTATTAAACGATTCTCATCGTCGACAGTCATACGTATTATTTTTTTCCCGCAAATTATTATATAAAAATTCTTAAACGTAAGACAAAAATTACATACAGTGATTTAACTAGCATATACAAATTCTAATTTTCGAGCCTAAATTTCAATCTTGATTATAGGAATAGATGGCGCTCCATTATATCTCCCCAGTCCCCGCCACTCCGGTTTTTATGGGAAAAATATTGAGCTTTTCGTTTACTCCACTAATCGTAACTAGGAAGCCGCGCTCCTTATGTATTTCTCCCTTCCATTATATCGCGAACTTTTATTGTTCAACGAGAGTGAGAGTTATAATATTTAACATAGAGTTTTAAAACCAAATACAGGGAATTAAAAAAATTAATAATTTTTTAATATTTATAAATTATGTATAAATATGTATGTATAAGTTACTAAAGATTTATTATAGGACTTTTTTTTTTTTTTTTTAA